GCCTTGGGCCCAATCACAATATATCTTTTTGCTGCAAATTTATTTGCAATTTTAGGCCCAACTGAAAAATCCAATTTGGATTTGGACTCGGGTTTTGACCCAACCTAAGTGAGACCTCTCCATGTACAATGAATCTGGACACCTGACTCTTCATGTGAAATGTAACAGCTCAGGTGATGGATTAATGGTGTTAATGGGGTTAATGGTGTTTAACTCCTGGTTAATGGTGTATTAACAACTGAAAACGTTTTGCCCCATTTATCTCAGCTTTAAGTGGCTGATGTAACTCCTGGTTTTACCTCAGAGGTGGAAGTCCTATAAATAGGACTTAGAGCTGAAGGGAAAAGTACACAACATTGCATGCACTCTGAATACTCTCAAAGCCTCATGCATCATATCATAATTCCCGACTTCATTCCAGTTCGTCGGAGCTCGAATTCTGGTGTGCTACAGCATTCGAGACGTAAGCCGTTGTATCTTTGGGGACGAGACGTCTGAACCCGTCAGCACTATACGGGCATTTTCGTATTGCGGAAAGAGCAATCACCTCGGTTTTTTTCGCTTTATTTTTTGTAATTTTCGATTCTGTTTTAGTTCACTTTGTAAGAACTGAAATCATCTTTATTCAGTTCATAGGTTCTCATTGTAATTCAAAATACATACTTTGTGTAACAATCGCAAGACGAAAATCCCACACCTACTGAACTGATGACATCCACTGGCGAAAGATCACAAACTCAACCACCTGTCACCCCCGATGTTCATCATCCCCAATTTGTTGTTCATGTTCCCACTGTTGAGAAGCCCAAAAAATTCAACGGGCTTGATTTCAAGAGGTGGCAACAAAAGATGCACTTCTACCAAACCACTTTGTTTTTGGTGAAGTACCTGAAAGATGACCCTCCTGTCGTAGCTGAAAATGAATCGAATGTTGAGCTGCGAGCTGCATACGATGCTTGGGGGCAAGGTGATTACCTTTGCCGGAACTATGTCCTCAACGGACTAAGTAACGAGTTGTACAATGTGTATAGCTCGGTTGGCTCTGCCAAGGAGCTTTGGGTTGTCTTGGAGAAGAAATACAAAACTGAGGATGTCGGGCGAATAAATTCGTCGTCGGTAAATTTCTGGAATTCAAGATGGTCGACACTAAGACCATCGTGTCTCAAGTACAAGAGTTTCAACTCATTTTGCACGACATTCATGCTGAAGGAATGTCTCTGAGTGAGTCATTCCAAGTTGCGGCTGTGATAGAGAAATTGTCGCCGGGTTGAAAAGACTTCAAGAACTACCTCAAGCATAAGATGAAGGAGATGAGTCTTGAAGACATGGTTGTTCGTCTTCGGATTGAAGAGGACAATCGGAAGTCTTTGGGGAAGGCCCCGATGATGGAAGCTCGTGCCAACTTACTGTAGCAAGGCAACTCAAGCAAAAGGAATCCCCTTAACAAAGGGAAGCAGCAGCCTGCCAAAGTTTGGAAATTTACCAGCAATTACCACAACTGTGGAAAGCCGAACCATATGGCTAAGGACTGCAAGAAGCTTAAAAAGGCTGGACTGAAGAAGGCACAACATAGTGCTCTCGTTGCTGAACACGACCCTGTGCCGAGTGAACTAACCGACATGGATATGTCGGCTGTGGTGTTTGAAGCCAATTTGGTGGATAACCCAAGGGCGTGGTACATTGATACTGGTGCCACTCGCCATGTATGTTCCGACAAGGAGTTGTTTTCTGACTACACTCCTTCTACTGGTCGGAAGCTCCACATGGGCAACTTCTCCTCGTCTGATGTGGCTGGAGTTGGCACCGTGGTGCTGAAGCTGACTCCTGGAAAGGAGTTGAAGCTTAAGGATGTTCTGCATGTCCCAGACATCCGCAAGAATTTGATCTCCGGATCTCTTCTTGTAGAGCATGGGTTTAAGTTAGTGTTTAAAGCTAAGAAGTTTATTCTTAGCAAGTTTAGTACCTTCCTTGGTCGTGGCTATCTCGACAATGGATTATTTAAAATGAATGTAATGGCTGTGAGCCATGTAACCGTTTCTGCTAATAATGAAAATCCTACTTCTGTTTATATCGTGGAGTGCTCTGATTTATGACATATTAGATTAGGACATGTGAATCTAAATGCAATTAAACGGTTGATGAACTTAAAATTAATTCCTAATTCTAAAATTGAATCACACAAAAAATGTGAAATTTGTGTTGAAGCCAAAATGGCTAAATTACCTTTTCACTCGGTGGAAAGAAATACTAAACCGTTGGATTTAATCCATACTGATGTATGTGACTTGAAGATTGTGCAAACAAGAACGGGTAAAAGATATTTTATAACTTTTATTGATGATTGCACAAAGTTTTTCTATTTATATCTTTTAAGAAGCAAAGACGAGGCTGTGGAAGCTTTTAAAAATTTTAAGACCGAAGTTGAAAATCAACTCGGCAAAAAGATTAAAATAATCCGAAGTGATAAGGGTGATGAGTATGTAACTCCTTTTGAACAAATATGTTCTGAATATGGCATAATTCATTAAACGATGGCCCCTATTCTCCACAGTCGAACGGTGTTGTTGAACGCAAGAACCGGACTTTAAAAGAAATGATGAATGCCATGTTGATAAATTCAGGATTACCCTAGAATATGTGGGGGGAAGCTGTTTTAACAACAAATCATATTCTGAATAAAATACCACCTAATGGGAGATTCTAATGGGGCTAGGCGAGATAACTTAAGAACAGATTGGGAGAGTGTAGCGGAGGTCCAGATTACTCATGCCATGCCAGAGTTGAAGTTCGGTGCGGGAGATTCTCAGGGCATATTGGTTCCCCATATCGATGCTCTGGTAGTGACATCGGAGATTGCGGGCTATGATGTTGAGAGGATTCTCGTGGATACGGGCAGTTCTGCTGACATAATGTTGTATGAGTGTTTCGGCGGATGGATTTAGGTGTGGAGATCACCCAATGAAGACATCATTGTTTGGCTTCAGTGGGGCGGAGGTAGTGCCACTTGGAGAGGTGCAATTGGCGATGGCGCTGGGAGCTCATCCTCTCAGGAAGGTGAAGATGGTGCGGTTTGTGGTGCTCAAAGCGGAGTCGGCTTATAATGTTATCTTGGGGCGGCCTAGCCTGAATTCGTTTCAGGCGGCAGTATCAATATTGTTGATATGGTTTTCGGTAAACCATGTTGTTATTACTCATTGGTTGTTAGTGCTCAATAATCAGGAGATTGTATTCTCTTAAAGGGGTGGCATGCTCATGAATTCCGAAGTACTCACATATCGGACAGAGACAGACTAAGAACCGACATCCTCATCAACTAAACCGACATCTCATATCGGTTACGACATGTCGGTTGTGACACGTCGGTTATGACTTATCGAGCCGATATCTATGACTTGCCGATCCGACATCGTAAGGCGGTGCCAACTCAGCACAAGTCATCATTGCGTCTTGCCAAATGGCGTGCTACGAGAATGAGTGGCGATCAGCCGCCATTGACTTTTCTAATATAATGATTACATTTTTGATAAATATTGTACATTAATATAAAAGGGAGAAGAAGCTCTCCGGACAAAAAAAAAAAAAAAAAAAATCATACTATAATATTCAATAAATTCCGCTTTTAGACTTTTGTGTTCTTCATTAATCTTCCTTGAATACCCCGCGTAATCTTCATTATATTACCGTTGTTAATTGACATATAACAACAAATATATTGCATGAAGATGAAATTCCCGGTGGGAGAGTTGGTAGGTGAGGTCACGGGGGACCAACGGTTGGCTAGGACCTGTTACCAAATGGTGTTGAAGGCTGGTAATAAGAGAAAAGGCAAAGACGAGAGCACAGTAATGGAGGAGGGCTCGATCATGGGCAAAGATGCCAGAACGGAGATTATCTCACTGGATGAGGCAATAGGGTGGATGTGTTGAACCATTTGGAGAGAAGTCTTTTAGAAAGCGTTAGCTGGAGGGGTTTATGAGCTAAGGGATCCGGAGGGTAAGGTCTTTCTCAAGCCTTGAAATGTTGCTACTCTCAAGAAGTATTATTGTCAGTTTGATTGTAACTTTGAATTGTTTTTGAAACATTTATGCTTTGGTTATTGAATTTGGTTGTTGCATTAAGGATAACTTGAAGTTGTTTTTGAAACATATATGTCTTAGTCTGATGAATGAACTAAGTGTGAATTGCTCGTAATGAAGAACAGAAAGTGTGACGGCTTAAGGTCGAGCTCTTATGAGTTTGGGTGCTGTTTAAAGGGTGTGACAGCTTAAGGCCGAGCTCTTGTGAGTTCGGGTGCTGTTCAAAGGGTGTGACGTCTTAAGGCCGAGCTTATGTGAGTTCAGATGCTGTTCAAAGGGTGTGACGGCTTAAGGCCGAGCTCTTGTGAGTTCGGGTGCTATTTAAAGGGTGTGACGGCTTAAGGCCGAGCTCTTGTGAGTTCGGGTGCTGTTCAAAGGGTGTGACGGCCTAAGGCTGAGCTCTTGTGAGTTCGCGTGCTGTTCAAAGGGTGTGACGGCTTAAGGCCGAGCTCTTGTGAGTTCGGGTGCGTTCAAAGGATGTGACGGCTTAAGGCCGAGCTCCTGTGAGTTTGGGTGCTGTTCAAAGGGTGTGACGGCGTAAGGCCGAGCTCCTGTGAGTTCGGGTGCTGTTCAAAGGGTGTGACAGCTTAAGGCCGAGCTCTTGTGAATTCGGGTGCTGTTCAAAGGGTGTGACGGCTTAAGCCCGAGCTCTTGTGAGTTCGGGTGTTGTTCAAAGGGTGTGATGGCTTAAGGCCGAGCTCTTGTGAGTTCAGGTGTTGTTCAAATGGTTTAAAGGCTTTAGGTTCCCCTTTTATGAGTTGGGGTGCTGTTCAAAGGGTCTGCCGGCTTAAAACCTGAGTAGGTGGATGTTTGGGTCTTTCCTTGGACAAGACCGAGCAGGTGGATGTTCGGGTCTTTGCTCATAAAAAATCGAGAAGGTTGAGGCTCGCGTCATCTGCTCGGATAGGGATTAAGGGCACTGACCGGTCCACCTAGCAGACAAGTTGCTCGGCTATGCTGTACCGAGTAACAAAATTCGTGTTGCTCGGCTATGCTCGTGGAGGGATAACAAAATTCGTGTTGTACCGAGTTGCATTGTTGTGCACAATATCAATCGCAATACTTTTTATATTTTTTTCTTTTTTTTACTTAATTATATTTATGGAAAACTTGGAGATAATTCGTAATAATATATGAAGGTAGAAATGTATAAATATTAGACATATATGGCAGAGCTTGGGCACCCGACTCTATATATGGCTTGGGCTTCTTATGAAGAACTCACATGTGGGAAGACATGTTAAAATATCACTTGTAAATTGTCCTATATCATTTACATAAGAAAAACATGCCTAATTTATAAGTCTAATGAGATACTCCTCTTTTAATCAATTAATTTTGGAATGGAATTCCACTTGGACTTTATATGTGCTTTTCAACCATGGAAGAAATATATGAAAAATAGAAGATGAGTTAAAAAATAAAAGAAATGAAAAACTAATCACTAGTTTCAATTATAAACTGAAAGAATACAAATTTGTACTTAAAAAAAAATCCAAATGTTAGCGGGAACCCTAAATCTTATTTGGCGGGAAAGGGATGAATATCTAAATGTTAGCGGGAACCCTAAATCTTATTTGGGGAGAAAGGGATGAATATATAACTATGGTTTTCTTTAGTCTGAATTTATGAGGATAAAAAAAATAAACAAAAGCAGACATGTGTCTGCAAGTATCGAATTTTCTGTATTTTAACCTGATTGCTTTTCCCGTGATTTATGCTTTATCTTCTCTCTATCTTGTCAAAATCCCACCTAACATGATTTTCTGTATCGGCACATTTATTCCCAACGAAGTTTTCTTACAGACCGAAAACTCATTTCTTCAAACTCCTCCCAAACTTTCCCCTTCATCTCGAAGAATTAGAGGGAAGATTTGTCTCTTCATCAGCTATCCCTTGAACTATCCAAAAATGGTAAACCGTCTTCAGAGAAAAATGATGATCTGTTCTATTTGTGAGGATGGAGGGAATCTGTTATGCTGTAACAAATGCCCGAGTGCTTTTCACCCTGGTGAGAAAATTGTCATGTTGAAATTGTTATAGGATATTATATTTTGATAGAATCAGAGATATTACAGTTGTATGACAGCTTTTATGCCAATGTAACATAATAGCATATGCTGCTCATGTATCCTCATTACAAGTTAGGATCCCTGGTTGTTCTTAGGGCTCTGTCCACGGAACACTCACCTCTACTCAGTCTGTACATTTTTCTTAGATTTATTCTGTTTATGAACCCAACATGTTGCCTGATATGCTATTTCATTTATCGTTAGTATTATATCCTCTACCTCACTTCTTACATTGCTTATCTTTTGCTCTCTTTGAGTCCTCTTGCAGTATGTGTTGGCCTGTCGAGCCTTCCAGAAGGAACATGGTACTGTAAATATTGTAAGAACATGTTTGAAAGAGAAAAGTTTGATGAGCGGAATGCCAATGCCATCGCAGCTGGCAGAGTGCCTGAGGCCGATGCTCTTGCAGAAATAACTCAACGATGTATTCGTATAGTGCCAAATGGCAGGGCAGATTCGCTGAGTGAGTGGATATCTTTAACTTAAAACTCATAGCCATGTTTTCACTTTGTGGTGTATCACGAATACAATTTTCTTTTCACTTCCCTCCTTTTCTGTTCACTTTGTGTCTTTTAATTTTGTTTTTATTTTTATCATTTTTTGTGTTTGTAACTGTGTTGCAGGGGCCACGACGGACAAGGCTGTCCCAAGTTCATCCTGGTACGATTCGGGACACGATCACTGGAAAAACAAAGGTGCCATTGTTGTTTTTTCTGTATGTGTTGATTGTGTTGATTTTAAAGAGTTATGGACTTAATTTCAAATCTGATGTTCTGTTATATGTTTTTACTAGGAACAAGAGATGGTCCCACTCATGTGTTTTATTGTTCAATTTTGTTTTATATTTACTTATTACTTGAAAAATATTTTGGGTTAGAGATTTAAGACTCAGTTGTATAATTCACCAGTAACCTTTAGTTTTGGCATTTGAGGTTAATGTCATGATAAACTTTTACGGAATTATCTTGGAAGAACTGAAGAAGTATATAGATAAGCATGTGACTATGTAGGCTGAAGCATGAATTGGTTCAAAAGGGTAAAATTAGCTTTGATTTTTCTCAAGTGTCATGCACAGGTGTATATATTGTTTACTAAGTATATAGATTATTGTTAAGTCATTTCTTTTCGTTTTATTTCTTGACAACTAAATTAAGCTCACACTTTGCTGAAAATTTCCAGGATAAGCATGTGACTATGTGAGGCAGCTTCAGATGCTGAAGGATGAAACTACAGCCAAAGTTAAAGCCAGTTTACAAAGAGCACAGGAACAGTTCTAAATGATTGAGTCACATCATACTTCATAGCTGTGTGAGTTCCATTTGATTATGCGAGGAGGAACAGTTCCATTGCAATACAGTTTTCAATTCCTTTGAAGGAATTATACAAGGAGGAACATAAAAATTTGTACTTCTTCCACTCGCAAACAAGTTGCATCTCCAGGTTCATCCTCCTTTTATCTGAATTTTGTTAGATTGCTTTCTTCCATTGTATGCTGTTTCCCTTGTCGTGGATTTTTTGCTGTTTTCTCTATTAAAGTGCCTTTGAAGATTGCTAAACATATCAAATACTATAATGATATCTTAATTCTCTATCCCTAGTCAGGAGGAATCAAGAAACTGGAAAATTAGGATTTTTTTTTTTAAGTCCATGAGTTGATCTGTTGTCCCCTTTTTTTGTTGGTTGTGGTTACTGTCAATAACATAATTCATAGTACGTTTTTTGTATGACACAATTATTCATGACAAGAAAAGAGCATCATGCAAAATGCCAATGGGTGTGTGTTGATGTCGAAAATCGGACGATCAACGGTTAAATAATAATCCATTTTTTGTAGGGAAAATGAAGAACAAATGCGGTAAGAATGAATGTATTTTTTTCCTTATTTTGGAGAGAAATCTCCTTTTTGTTGTTTGGAGAGGAGAGAATGAAGAAGAGTCCCTTTCTCTCTCCTATTTTTACATATATATACATGTTCCACAATCTTGCAAGTGGTCAAATAATAGTACATTATTTATTTAATGTGAAATAGTCATCGTGATGGCTCGCTCATAACTTTTTCCAGTTTCGACGGGCATTTGTATTGTCGGCAATTGGACATCTACCGGGGGTTGGTTCTTGAAATTCTATTCAGCTCGAAAACGGGCAGGCTCGCCATCTGGGGACCCGGTCGCCTTTTAGATGATCAACCTTGCGTACCTATTTGTATATTCATTTATCTCGTATTTCCGGCTCCTCGGTTATCGAGCCGTATTTTATTATTTCCTTTGTTACTTAATTAATAGGAGTCAAATTGGGTATCAACAGGAGGCCCCCGAGTTTAGGACATGTTCTTGATTGAACTGTTCTGAAGTCGCATTTAATCTTTACAATTTGACAATGTTTTTACCTCAAGATCTCTTGAGCTTCGGGCTCTTTTTATTGTGTTAGGATATCGCGTAATGAGGGATATTGGTAGAATCGCAAATATGTAGATGAGCGCGAGTGGCGGAAAATTTTCGCGTGATTCATGAGATCACTTTTTATCTTGTCAGAAAAATGGTGATTTTATCGCGACTTAGTACGCAATTTTAGGGTGCTTTGGGACCCTTGAGCGTCTTGTTGATCATTTCAGGCTTTGGCCTGACGTGACGATGATAATAATGGCTTGATCTTTGACGAGTTGAATTGGTTTGAGTGAATGGGCGACTTTTCTGACTGGATAGGGCCTGAATGGCCTGGTCGGGCGATTTGGTACCCGTTTTTCATGCATGAATGCCTTTTATGTCGACATGAGTGAGC